CCAACGCCTTTGCTGGTTCTCCCCCAATAAACGCTCCCAAACCCTCCCTCGCCAATTTTGTTGTCGTTGCTGAAGTTATTTGTGGCTTGAAGAAGCTCCTTGAGCGTGTAGATTTCCCATGGATAATCAAGATTCTCTTTCACACTGAATCAAAGAAAAAGGGATAAGACTCTCAAACACATAAATCAAGAACTTGAGGTTCAATGGTTGATAAAGCATGTACCTTTTCCTTGATTTTTGGTGGCCGCCAACGCAACTGAAGCAATTCCAAACCATTTTCACCACAAATGCAAGAAACTAAGCTGGCAGGGAAATGGGTTTTGTAAATAAAGAAAAGGGTTCCTGAGATTGCGAAGCAAAAAGGAGGAGTCTTTATGTTGAAGACAAAAGGGAGAGGCTTGGAAGTCAAGGGGGCATTATTAACAGACATTTATGTTTATTTTAAGGTAGTTCCCATTGTTATGAATTTTAGTGTTTGTTTATTAGCTTTTGTCCAGCTGTAATTTTCATTGGAAATGTCAAATGTTGTAGCCTGTTTTTAAAATGCTATTAGGAAGAATATTTTGGACATTATTCTGCTTCATAAAATACTAAAATAATTAGGAATAAATCAACGCTACATTAGTGGTGATGTTATCTCTTATTTTAATGTGGGGAGTGACACCATTCTTGCACTTGATAATGGAAATTCGTAACGTCTTCACAATTTGATGTTCTTATATACACATTTCTTTATGATTTTATTATTGAATAATGTTTATGTCCTATCCAACATTAGCTACTCAATTACTAAAAAAGGGGAAGAAAAAAAAAAAAGTTAGCCAAGTCATCTAGAAGCTACGCCTAGTTCCAAGAAGAAAACGTTTAATTAAAAATAGTAGCAAATGGGAGTACAAAAGGATTCGATTCTGAATCTAGATTCGGTACCTGATGTCCCCGACATTCTCATGCATCATCTATAACATGACTAAGTTACTTACTTCTCGTCCCTAAGAGTGAAGATTTTCCCTACAAACCAACGTAAGTACTTCTAGTATGTTTTATCCTTACTCACATGCATCCTAAGAAAGTTTTCAATAGGTCCCCGGATATCAAATTGCTTTAAATAAAACATGTTTAACCATAACTTCCTATGATTGAACCACGGATAGAAAGGTGCATCTTGTTGGTATGGATACTGACTTTCAATTTTTTTAAGCTCTTCTTAATCATGTTTTTCTCCTAATCGCTCTCATTTGCTTTCATTTTGAATGTAGTATCGGATTATTCACGTACTTCCAGATCAGGCTTGGGCCAGATATTGACCCACGCTATGGACTAAAATTTGGAAATACATAATGGGTAGCTAAAGTATTTTTCAACTTTGGAGCTGTTGCAAATATGATAAAGTATTCATAATTAATCAAGTATAGCAGTAATAATACTGGTTTTTTTAACACACAAGATCAGGTATAACCTGATAACAATGTCTGAAGAACATTAGAAAAGATAGTTGAAATTAAGATTTTCATAGCTGGTTCTCATTTCTTTTTGCTTTTGAATATTGTAGCTTATTATCTGAATATTGTAGCTTATTAAATAAAACAATAAAATTTAGATTATTAAATAAAACATATATCATGCGACCTTACATGACAAAGGCGCAAACAAATAAATGAAAAGAAGAGAAAGGATTAAGCACCAAATGACACAAAAGTGCAAACTCGATACAGTTTTTGTTGCAGTTCATGTACATCAATCCTCGTTGGATCATCTACCTGAAAAACAAAAGCAATCAACATAACAAAATCAACCTCTAAACATTAGAAAGAAAGAAAAAAGTGAGGCCAATCATGCAAACCTTTGTGTGGATGGTGTGCAGCATCATTTCCTTCACTTTGGTGGAAGCACAACTCGTAATTTCAATACTTTCTTCAAGCAAAACCCTCATCACTTCTGAAAGCTCCAAATTTTGCTCTCTAAAGATGCTTATCACAATCTCCAACCCACCTGAATATGGCTTAATTACAACGCAACTTGAGGGACAAAGATCCGAACTTTCATCCAAATGCAGCCCCTTTATTGCATCTCTTTTTACATGAAGCTCGCTGATCTTTCCTCTGAAGTGTTCAATATAATTCACAGCCTCATCCACAATATCAGCTCTTGTACGCCTACCCTAAAATCCCCTCAACATTAGCCTCAAAGTAATTACATATTATTGGAAACGGCCCACAATCAAAACATGGTCCAAACAAATGAAAGAGCAAAAAACACAACTAGTAAAACCCAGATCCACCGCGGGCAGATATTGTCCTTTTTGGGTTTTCCCTTTCGAGCTTCCCCTCAAAGCTTTAAAACGTGTTTGCTAGGGTAAGGTTTCTAAGATGGTGGTTTGTTCTCTTCCCCAACCAATGTGGGACATCATAATCCACCCCTCTCAGGGCCCAGCGTCCTCGCTGGCACTCTTTTCTTCCTCCCATCGATGTGAGACCGCTCCCAAATCTACCCCCTTTGGGTCTAGTGTCATTACTGGCACACCGCCTTGTGTCTACCCCCGTCAGGGAACAGCGAGAAGGCTGGCACATCGTCCGATGTCTGGCTCTGATACCATTTGTAACGACCCAAATCCACCGTTAGCAGATATTGTCCTCTTTGGACTTTCCCTTTCGGGCTTCCCCTCAAGGCTTTAAAACGCGTCTATAGGAGAAGGTTTCTACACCCTTATAAATGATGGTGGTTTGTTCTCCTCTCCAACCAACGTTGGACATCACATAATCTGAGTGGAGAGAGCTTTTGAACCGAGGAACCTTAAGCTCGTGGTTATTAATTCTCTTTCTGGCCGTGAAAATAACATATGTCTAAACCTTCTATGCAAGTTAACCACTTCTAACAATTCTGACTCAAAACTGAACAATTATCCTATAATTCTATTAAGTTACTAAGTCAACTAAGTCAAGCTTATTCGAACAAAAAGACAAGGTAATTTTAAAAGAAAAGAAAGGAAGAAGCAAAAGATGGAATTTTTTAACTGTGTTTACCTCTACAAGTTGAAGAGGAAGCAAAGATCGAAGGTTGGTAAGAAGGGAGAGCATTTGTTTCCTTCGTTCTCGTTCGAGATCTCTGTGCACAATCTTCCTCACTTCATTATGAGTGGATTCAATTTTGTTGGGATTAAGTTCACTGCTTCCCTCACAGCCTGAAAGTTGATGGGGTTGATGATGGTGTGAGGGATGATTGAAAGGAAACATTTTTGGAGGATGGGGCGTTGAAAGGATAGCATAATAGATATTAATAAACTATGGTCTTTATTGATTTGGATTCTCTGTGAATCTGTAGCAGCATTCAAGCGGTTGTGTAAAACGTGGACTCAAAACAAGCCTCAAAGCTCCTCTTTTTGACGCATCGGGTTTCACATAGGGTAGATCCCCACCTGCCGCCATGGTGTTCAAAATTTGATTCTTAGCATTAAGGAATGAAATTGATATCAAATTTGTTAACACATTACTTGAAAATTAACCTAAATAAATTATGAACTAATGCAATGTAAGCAGTGGGAAAGCAAAGATCTGGAAAACACAAAATTCTATTTTGTTCATGGATTGACAAGTTGGACTTCTGCTCTTTCCACAACAATTGTGGAAATTTGAAATATTTTTCTCAAGAATTACTTTTGAGATCTTAGTAAAATATGTTCTAACAATAAGTTGAGGTGGATTACATGCACGTGTTAAACGTGTTAGAAATGAGTTTGAATTTATCACCATCCACCAACTTAATTGTTATCATTTGGTTGGGTGATTCGTCATTTTTCTTAACTATATTGTGGACTTGAGCTGTTACAAATGACATTAAAACTAGACACGGGACAGAGTGCTAACGAGGATGCTGGACCTCAAGGGAGTAAAGTGTGAGATCCCACGTCGATTGGAAGGAGAATGAAACATTTCTGTAAACGTGTGAAAATCTTATAAGGAAATTCCTTGTAACGATGATACATGTCATTCATATTCATTACATACATAACAATACATGCATTTACCCACAAAGAAATTACAACATAACTAATTTGATGTATGTGGTACTTAATTGCGAGGTAAATACATGTATTGTTAATATGAATGACATGTATTATGATGAATGAATGACCCATCATTAAAGATTTTATTCTTACATAAAATAAAAATTCACGATTAAGGAATATAATAAAAGTGTAGCCCCATAATTAAAAATGATCAAAAGAAGAACTGTGTTGGTTGAATTTAAGCGTGTTGAAAAAAGAAGTGTAAGAATACAAAGTCAAAGTTCATTCATTGGAAGACTTGCTTGTAAGAATGTCAGAGTAATTAAAATTCTGTGCTGATGAGTTTACTTCTATACCAAATAATCTGGACCATCCAAAATGCTATCCAGTCATACAACAACCCCAAGAACAGGGAAGAAAAGACGAGGTACAGTGAAATCTGTGTCTGTTTCATCCTCTACGCACCAGGTGGTCATTACCAGATCCAATACCCATAATTATGCTCAATCTTTGACCATTTCTTCATCCAAATGCTTCTTAGACTTGGGAAACTAGAGGGTTTAATCTGTAATGATAGTGAATGATTGAAGACCTAACCAACGGAAAAAAGTTGGATACTTTGCATTAAAAGTATCAGATAGTGAATGATTGCATAACTAACCGCACCACTAGCAGGAATTGTCCGCTTAGACTAGTTATGTATCGTTATTATCCTCACAGTTTTAATAATAGGAAGAGATTTTCACACCTTTATAAGAAATGTTTCGTTCCCCTAATAATTGAGGTAGAATCTCACAATATGATTCTTGTTCGGTGCCTCTGAGAGAAAAAACAGAGCAAAAGGTCTGCAATTCTAGCTGCTTTTGTGTACTATTATTTCCGTTCAACAAAAGCGAAAGGCATGCCTAGTTGTAAAAGTCAATGAGAAAACATCCCTTCCCTGAAGCAATTAGAATCTGTCATGCACTTTATTAAAACTCTGAGTTAGAAGATCAGGAAAACAGAGGAACCATATCTTCTATTTCTATCCACCTTGACTTGTTTATATACAAATATCTTATGAGTTCTCATCACTGCCAAGACGCCAAGACTGAAGGAAACAAGATATCACGAAGAACTCATAAATCAAACATACAATCTTTCTTTTTGTATTTGATTAGATTCCCACACCAATCACCTACAAAGATGATGAATAAATTATCTAAAACAGAGTATCAGCATATACAAGAAAAGGCTTTGTTTCATCGAGTCTTCCTATGCAACTTAACAGGGAAGCGAGATGGAGGCGACGGGGACAGTTCGGCTGGTAGTTGGGGTGCCTCCAACCCACCGGTTAGCATCCCCACGACCTCTTTCATAGAGGGTCTGCGAGCAGGAAATTTCTGCACACAAATCAGAGCAACCTTGATGCAAAGAAGAGCTTGATCTCGATCTAAACACTGAATTGACTGATCAACCAAATCGATCAGCTTTCCAGCTCTGGCGAGATGACGAGCCCACGATAAGAGATTGGCCCGCTGGAATTCTGATAACGGTGAATTTGTCACCTGCAAGGGTCTTCTTCCAGCTATAAGAACTAACAATAAAACTCCGTAGCTATAAACATCGGATCTCTCAGAAAGATCTGCACCGCCGCCGTATTCAGGGGCAATGTAGCACATGGTTCCTCTCATACTTGGAGTACTACTAATGCCACCACTCTTGGGAATATCATCATGGCTGTTCCCACGAGCTCTCCAAAGCTCGCCGCTAAGCCCATCTAACCACCAATCGATGCTACCTCGGCTGCCATGGTTTTTGCTTCGATTCCTCTTCTTTTTCTCTCTGTACATTTCATCATCCAATGGCCAGAAGTCGCCCTCTTTTTGGGGCTTCTTTTTCTTCCTCTTCTTTGCTAGCTCTTCACAATACTCCTCCTTCCACCACTCCCTCGCTGGCCTTCTCTTCTCCTTTCTCAGATTCTTGGTACTCTTTTCATCATCCATAGACATCCACCAATCTAATCGCTTCTTGTTCTTCTTCTTCTCTGACTTCTTTACCGACGAGGCTGCAATCCATTCGCTTTTCGGCCTCTCCGCCTTGATCTCTGATCCAATCCACTCCATAACATATTCCTTCACATTCCCAGTGCTACCATCTCCACTTTTCTTCCCCACACTGTTAGCTCTGTCAAAACCCCCTTCTGAGGGGTATACCATCGCTGCAGCCCCCAAAGCAGTCTCTGGCGAAGTCGTGGCGACATCCACGGTCTCTGGTGAAGTCTCTGAAACGGGAATTCTTAAAAAGCTCTCAGGTGACTGATCAACACCCACGACGTTGAATTCCTCAAATCCAGTGGCTACGCTCTCAGCTTCCTCTGCCACGGATCCACAATCTTCAACTACACAACCACGGTTGCTGTCATGTTCTTCTTTTCTTTCCTTCTTCTCCTCCTCCACTGCATTTACCTTCACCTCAACTTCAAATTGACTATTCTCTAGCTTCAACCTAGCAAGCCCAAAATCCCCAATTTTTGCCGAGAAGCAATGATCTAACAGCACATTACTAGGCTTGATATCACCATGAATAACAGGCGGATCTAACCCATGAAGATGCTCTAATCCCTTTGCAATATCAACCGCAACTGAAAACCGTTTCTTCCACTCCATAAGCTCAGGGCACTTCCTATGCAACAAAGCGTCTTGCAAATTACCATTATGCAAAAGCTCATAAACTAACAACATCCTGCGCCGCTTCTGGTCCGAGCAAAACCCAAGAACACTAGCGACGTAAGACGAATCAATCTTGGTAGCAAAAAACAACTCGTTCTGAAATTCCCTTTCTCCTTGTAACGATCCAGAATCCATAAGTTTGACCGCAATTTCCTTATGGGTTTGCGGCAGAGTACCATAGTAAACAGACCCAAAGCCACCTTGGCCAAGGCGGCGAGAAGGGGAGAAAGATTCAGTGGCACGGCGGAGAAGGGAGTAAGAAAAGCGATGCGGGGGTTTGGAATCAGCAGGCGCAGTACGTTTACGAGTCACTTTACGAAACAGAATAATGAGAAAAAGGAAGAAAGAGAAGGCGGCGGTGGAAGCGGCAACGATTGGGGGAAGAAGATGAGTGGACAGAGCATGGTGGTGGGTATGTACAGAGGAAGGAGAAGGAGACGGCGAAATAGACCGAGATGGCATCCTGCGAAGAAATCCGACAGAAATCTCGATGGGTTCTTTCTGTTTCAGTAAGATTAACAGGAGAAAGTTATCTCCATGACGGAAATAAATCCAGAATTTTCAACGACGACGACGAAGAGGAAGAAGAAGAAGAACAACAAGGAGCGTTGGAGTTCTTTTCCTTTTTTTCTTTTTCTTTTTCTTTTAATTTAGATATTATTATTTATGGGAAGTTGTTAGATTTTCCCTTTTGCATAATTACAAGAAAACGTGAAAAGACCTTTAAAAAGTCTACATTGCATCGTTGTTTGATACCGATTATCACTTTTTTTTCTTCTTTTTTTTTCTGTATAATATTATTATGTTTTAGAAAATAATGCGAAGTATTCAAATCTATAAGCTTATATATTAATTAAAACCATAAATTATTGAAGTGATAAATACTTTAAGAAACAGTCATAGAAATAAGTTGAATATTAAAAAGTGAATTTGGTAATTTTCTTTTGTCTGGTTTTGTTCAATTCAAAGGGTGTGGGCCCATTCTTAAATCCATCAATTTCCTTTGCTACCCTTCATTTCTTCATCCTCATCCCAAAACTAATGGCCTTTTCTCCACAGTTTTGAATGCAAAATTACGTAAATGCCCTCCAACTCCCAGCTTATTAAATTTCAGAGATCATTATGGTAGTAAAAATAATACCAAAAATCAACCAAGTAAAAGAAAATTAGGAAAAAAGACTCCTAACCACCCCTTTGAAAGTGATATTACTCTACTTGCCATCTTTGTATGATCGGATCGTCAAGGAAGAGCATCTCAAAATATGGGATAAACGAACAAACGCTTTGACTTTGTCTCTTAAGATCCACCACGATTCGAGTTTGAACGTCAACCTACGAGACTCACCTTTTGTCTCAATAGATGTAAGAATTCAATAATCTGTACTACGTGGGAGAACATAAAAGGACGGGTAGGTTGGTAATTTAGCAAAACAAACCGACCCATGACTTATTTATGTCTTAAATTCAATCTAGACGGTGATCGGATTGAGACTGAGATAAAGCTCAATAATATTGAGGGAGGGGAGGGGTTCCCATCAATCTCACGTGCGCGTCTCTCTCCTCTAGAGTGTGAAAGGAAGCATGAATTGATCGTCTCAGACAGATTAGAGGCTTTCAGATCAAAAGACCACTCATTGGTTAAAAACAAAGCTGTAGGACCATACCCTACGCTCTCTCTCTCTCTCGCCCCTGGATCAACCCTTCAATAATTCTCCTCATGAAAATTTTAGCACACTTTTCTCTTTGTTGAATAACAACTAATTAGGCATCCAAGTCGAGTAATCCAACACAGATCTTCAGCTGGAACAGCCTACATTTCCTGCATATAGCAAGAACCAAGAATTTGTGTTTTGAAATGGTTGGAATCACCTAACCCTTCCTGTAAATCACCGACAAAGTCTCACAGTTTTAGAAGTAGCTGACGCTGCTCCTGCTACTTAGAAAACAACATTCTTTACAATATGCAGATGCCAATCATGTGGCCACAAAAATTTCGGAGCTCAATTCTTCCAATCATCAGTTCTTTTGTGCTTCATGATCGCATGAAAGTAGCAAAACATCGACCAACAAGACTCTAGAACACACCTTTCAACTAATGAATTCAATCGCACATCTACAAATTAGAGAAAGAAGTTCCAACCTAAGAGGAGCTGTTTTAATGGATCAAATTCTCCAAATTTCGTTTCCAATTTAGAGCAGGGCTGTACAACGTCCATACATACACATGTTTAACCTTTACCACTTCAATTTTTCTGCTCAGCTTCTCTTTAGATCAATAACTATAACACTGATGTTGTCCATGCTTCTCCGCCCCAAAGCTAGACGAGTCAGCAGTGCTGCAGCTAGTGAACTTCGAGAAGGGTATGAAGTTCCAGCCCCTTCTTCAATTTGAGGCTCGGCGTTGAGGTCTATCGTAGTAGTAGTAGCAGCAGCAGCGGCCGTTCTTTCTTGGAGACATTCTCGAGTTACCTCACAAGCCAACTCACTTGAAAGAACATCCCACAAACCATCACTTGCAAGTATTAAACATTCGTCATCTGATTCTCTTCTGGTGAAAGTAATTTCAGGCTCTGATATTACAACTGACTTGAGATATTTGTCACCTGTTCAAAGCGGTGAAGTTCCATATAAGGGACTAGAATTATCACTAGTGTTGCAAAAATGGTCATTTATAGAATGAACTTGACATAGATAAACGGAAATCTGATAAAACTTGAAGTTCATCCTGACAGTTTTTGAACTTAAGGAAAGAAAAAAGAGAATTATGTGAATTCAATCTCTAACACGATCAATTGATCAGATAACTGAACACATAAACGTCGAAAATACCTCCTACATTCAACCCACGGAACATAAATACAAAGTCACCCTCAATAGCTGCACTTGCATACCTGCATTAACTCATAGGATTACTAACCACTTCTGTAAATCTTTTTCTTAGATCAAGAGGTAACATGAGTAATCCAATACAGATGAAATATAAAACTCCACAGCTCTTACATGTTTCTTCGAAGAGGATGATATAATAGACTAAACCAAAGCAACTACAGAAGAGTAATCAGGCAAGAAATGAATGATAATATCACTTTAGAGTTTCCATAGCATAGTCAACGCAGATGTGAGTTACAGCCTTCTTAATAAGTTGCCAAAGTTCCCAAAGGTTTCTCAACTCTATTGCACTACTTGGATTCCTGCCAACGCGTATTCCGAATAGCTTTACCTTGTCAACCAGTCTCAATATGCCAACTAAAAACTCTCCAGACAGGTTAGCTCTGTAAACTACCTTGAGCTTACAAATTAGTAGTTCTAACATGGTTCAGGACCTCAGGTCGATGATGGTATTTCTCGGCCTGGTATCAAACCTATAAAACCCTCATTGATATTTGTACTAAATTGGCCAAATTTGGGTAAGTCTCAGCAAAAGATGTCAATTTCTCAACCTGGCCTTGCACGTATCATGAGTGAGATAGTAAAAGATATTAAAAAGAGCACTCATTAATTTCAAAATATACAGGCCAGATTAAAACACTAGTTGAACACCTAATAATTCAAATGTAAGAAAGATGTTTAGAACTCTCATGACTAGATCCCCCTTCCGCCGTTCAATTGCAAAAGCTTCAATATTTGACCAATTATCACAATGGACTAAACTACTCAAATTCCAACAGAGAGCTCGCAACTCTTGTTTATTTCCAAATATCACGTGGCAACATCTTGTCTCTAGTCCTTGACGAATATCCACGAGTCGATATTACAGTCATCATAAATCCGAAGCGAGCAACCCTCGGCAAACATCCCACCTCATACCTTGAGCTTCAGGAATAAAAACTCCTCTTGGTTGAAATTACAAAATGGTCATTCTTCATATGGTGAAAAAGCTACACGCTACAATGATGGTTTGTCCATCTCACAATACGACTCACTTTGCAAAGAGCTTTATTTTGTCAATTTCTCAAATTTTGTCCCCAATCCTTCGATGTATATACATTGCTAACCTCTTCCACCAATAGCTTAAACCTTTTGCTTCATCACTACCAGTTTTCTTAATCCTGGACTGTCAAGATTAACGCATCTGACACGTTAGACAAGTTCTGATATCAGCTTAGTATCATCAATATATGCTGTGAAGCCCGCAACTAAAATTGAATCTCATCATAAGCTAGTGCCATATCAGTCTATCATTTCCTTCTTATATATAAGACAAAACACAAATCCGGATAAGTTTCAATATAAGTATACAGATAGAGAAATGAGATCAAAAACACTAATGTCCCACTGCTTGAATAAGCTATGCATTTGGAAACTTGGCGCCTTTTGAATCCATGTTGCTGCTTTCAATCAAAACTACTGTCCTAATTCCCAACATATCTTAGAAAAAAACAACAAACTAATTCACGATATTGGAAACCTACTTAGTTCCAAGTTCTCAAGATGGCAAGTATATATAACCATAAATGTTATGTCAACGACGTAAGCCACAGTTGTACTAGTTCCAATATTTGTTTTTATTATTTTTTAAAAACAGAAAAATCTATTGAAGAGTACACAAAAGAAAAGTGAAATAATAGAAGCCAAGCCAAAACATTAAAAAAGGAGAGCAGAACACCAATCCAAAAGGTAATGGAACCTTAACTATTTAATATTTGCATCATGTTTATTGACCAACTCCGGAATAGGCAGACTGGCCAGCCAGCCAACATTAAATGCCATCAGCATTGTTGCATGATTCTTCCATCTAGCCATAGCCTATAAACACATCACTTACATATCCTTCCTTCGGGAAAAAGAAGTATTATCACGCACAAAGAAACATACGTATGTACAAGGTAATAAAGTATAAATGTAGATAACAAAAGGCTTTATATAACAGAAAAGGAAATATAAAGCAGAGTACAGTTAGATAACACCATTGATATCAAAATAAAATAATATAAAAACCAAGTAGAGTGAGCAGTGAGCAGTGAGCACCCAGCAGGAACACACTCGCCAACATGACATGATTCTGCAGGATTCAGCCACGGTACATTTAACAAAAATTTGCACTTTTATCCCTAAGGTTCGACTTCAGTTACATTTGGGTCCCATCCATGGCCTCCGTTCGACGCTGTTCCTTTTCCTCTGCTTCTTTTCTCTCTTGATTCATGAAACGGAAGGGGTGGGGGGGGGGGGGG